CACTATCTAATCAATGAAATGAATCCATATCAAACAGTGGACGGAGATCAACCACGATGAGTTCCTGCCAAGACAAGGAACCCACAACAAAACAATGGAATCACACCGTGAGCAAGGAAATGGAAGACTGAACACGAGCAAGAAAATAGAATAGAAGGCCCACTCAAACAATAGAAGCCACTACGTGCCAATACTAGATTTTTTGCAATAGAAGTTCATCATGTATCATGTATCAAGTACATTTTAAATTTTCGAAACCACGATCGTCAAAAATAAAGAAATAATTGAAAATTAATTTTAAAAAAACCACACAGATCGTAAAAAATGACATAAAAATATGTGTGTTATCCTTTTCTTATTTTTTTTTAAATCCTATAATATTATAACCCATGCATAATAAGAAGGTTTAAATGTTTACTCCGTCCTCATGTTAAGAGGTGAATTTCTGTTTAGTATCCGGTTTTAAAAATGAAGACATTGGGTCTCTATGTTACGAAAAGTTTATGAATAAGGTCATGTCCGTTAAGTTGACAACAACATCGTTAAGTCCATGCTGATGTGGCCGTACTTTTTTTCTTCTCTCTTCTGGTTGTCCAGCTTTTTCTCTCTCTTGTTTAGCTTTGTCTTTGATAATTTGTTGAATTTGTTCTTTCTTTGTGGACCTTATTCATATATTTTTTATAACATAGGGACCCAATGTCTTCATTTTTAAAATCGAGTACTAAACAGAAATTCACCTCTTAACATGTGGACGAAATAAGCATTTAATCCTAATACGAAGGGTGTATGAAAAGGTGTGGAGGAAAAGGTGAAAGGTGAAGAAAGATGGGACGAATGAGAATGCGACAAGTATAGAGAGAGTGGTTTCACAACATGTGAGCAAATCCCACGAATCTGCAGTCCTCAGGTCGTGCTTACAATACTTTTCTTCTTTTTGTACACTCACATTTAAGTACTTCTGCTCTTCATCTTCTTCACTATTTTACCTATCTTTAGGCATATTCACTATTTTACCTATCTTTAAGCATATTCTCGATCATATGTTTCTTGGCACCCCATGACAATAAAATAATTATCCGTACACATATCACTTTCATAATTCTCTAAAACCCTCAATTTTAATCTTTTTAAACAAGATTCTTAACACGACTATTCTACCTCTTCACCATTCCTCATTATTTTTCAAATTGAATTTTCACTCACGTAGTTCATATCTAATACGTTATTTTCAAGTTAGAATTCTTCCATTATTAGGAGTTTGAAAAATAAGTTAAAAGAATAACTGAATTCTGAGTTTTCTTTTCTCATTTAAAAAATAAAGAGACTTTCAAAAAGAAAATTTTAACAACAGTTTGAAATTCAATGTTTCTTAGAACGAATCCTAACTTGAAGAAAAAAAATAATCTTATTTATGTAAATATTTGACACAATATGCTATTTGGTTCAATTTGAATGAAAAATTCACTTAAAATTTAAGTAAGATTTTATTCTTAAAAATTACTTTAAAGGATTAAGAGGTAATATATATTTAAGTTACTCTTAATATCAATTCCTAATAATATAGAACTACTAAATATTCCTTAAATAATATAGGCCTCTTAAATATATTAAAGTGCATATTAAATTATAATTAAAAAGTTATACCTTATTAAATACATTACATTTTTCTTAATAGAAATTATCCATAAAAGGAACTTTAGATATTTCACCACCTACTCTTGTTAAAAAGAAGTGTACAAAATTTATATACATCTCATTGTTTAACCTAGTACTTCTTTGCAAAAATTAAAACAACTCTGTAACTGACTCCATACTAAAACTTTTTTGATAAATATTTTTCATACAAATATATTTGAAGATAAACTCTTCATATACTTCAGAGAAAAACTACCTTACCAACATATTACACTATATTTAGCGTAATTTGTTACTTAAAGCTAATAAAAGAAACACTTTTTTTTATAATTTTTATAATAATAATAATAATAATAATAATAGACAAGTTTTACATATGAATTTACATGCAATAATTTGATAAATTAATAATAATAACATATTAAAAAGTACATTATAAAATATATTGTAATAACTTCTTTAATATACTCGCATTTTATTTTACTGAAAAAAAATTGAAAAAAAGAAAGAAACTCAGTCACCTATCAACTTTCATATTTATTATTTGTATGAAATCATAGTTGACAAAAAAATTATATATATCTGTTAACTATTTAAAATATCAAACTGTTTTAATAATATTAAAGTCACATCAAAGTTATGGAATTGTATAAGCATTAAATTACACATAAAGTAAGATGCAATATCATTTTGGTCTTGGTAGAATTAACTCCTAACAATTTTTTTATCAAAAATACAATAATTTAAATTGCTTAATCATTGATGATTTTACCTGCATTAAGTATATTTTGAACTTATAATTGAAAATACTCCTATGATACACAGGACATTTTTGTCTTTATCATGCAAATTATTTCACTTGTTAATATAGAGTTGTCAAAATCTTTACTATTCTTAATAGTAGTACATGTTGGTACACAACTATGCTAAGATAACAAATATTTAAGCTAAGGTCAAAATACTACACGCAAATAATATCTAATAGTTTTAGAATAAAGTGTTTTTGTTTTTTTACTGTGTTTTAGTTGGTGATATATAACACAACAAATTTCATACACAATTATAATAATTTCAGTAATACTTAATTTCTATTAGAGTTAGGAAGAATCTTAACCTCTTACAATTAGGGATATCAAAATGGGTAAGAATTTATGGATTGAATTTGAAAGAAATGAAATTTTTTATACGGATCAATTTTCAAGCCGACTTACATTGATTTCGACTCACTTGGAATTGAACTCGTGTTATTTATTCTTTTGTATTTCAATATTAATATATAGTTAAAATTTTATTTATTTATTATAAATGAAAATAAAGAAAAAGATGTTTTAAAGGAACAAAATATTATAAATTTATCCTTTGAAGATTCTAATCTTATAAATGAATTAGTGAATTAGTGACACAAAAATCCAATATTATAAACTTATTTATTCGCTCTTTAGGTTTGTTTTTAGAATACATCTGAGTTGCATGTTAATTTTTTTATTTTGAATTGTTTTTTAAATTTAACATTATTTCAGAATAAAATATTTAAATTTAAATTATCAAAAAATTGTAACTTTTTTAGTTTAAAAAAAACTTTAAGTGAACTAATAAATCAACTCATTTATTGAATTCAAATTTTTTGGATTAATCAATAAATGAATTGAGTTAAGTTGATTAAGTAATGTCTTATTCTTTTGAGTGAATTTGAGGGGATTAGAGAGGATTTGAAAATAAATTTTTTTGTCGTTTATTTGAGTGAATTTGGAAGTAAATGAAGGTGAATTTGAAAATAAATTTTTTTAATTTGTCACATATACTAATTCTCACAAATTTTATTTTTAAATTCACTCTCATTTACCTCCAAATTCACTCAAATAAACGATAAAAAAATTTATCTTTAAATCTTCTCAAATCCCCTCAAATCCACTCTCTCAAATTCACTCAAAAGAACAAGACCTAAATGACCAACTCATAATAAATCGAATCGAATTAGACCGATTGACTGATTTTGATTGCACTGTTTATAATAAAAACTTAAATTAGTGGAGTGAGAGTATATATTTGTTTAACCAGTCCTTAAAAGTTTAAATTTTAGATATTTAATGTCATTGATAAAAAATAATTTAAAATATATTTATTTATCCAAAACAAAAAGTGCATTTAAGGTGAGAATAAATATTTCTATAGGTTTAATCATTCACTAAGTCCCTATTTTCGCATGGAATCTCAATTTCGTCCCTTTCTTTCTGAAAATATCAATTGGGTCCCAATTTTATGAAAATTGCAACAAATCGATCCTTTCCGTTAAATTGGCTGGACGGCGTTAAAAAAATTGATGAGTGGATGTTGTGATGACGAACGAACGCTCGTCCACCAGCGAACGAACGCTCGTTCACCAGCGAACGAACGCTCGTCCACCAGCGAACGAACGCTCGTCCACCAGCGAACGAACGCTCGTCCACCAGCGAACGAACGCTCGTGGACCTCTTACTGCTGGACGACCGTTCGTTCCACACTGGACGACCGTTCGTTCGGTGGTCGACGAGCGTTCGTTCGCTGGTGGACGAGCGTTCGTTCGCTGGTGAACGAGCATTCGTTCGCTGGTGGACGAGCGTTCGTTCGTCATCTCAGCATCCACTCATAAATTTTTTTAACGTCGTTTGACACTATTTAACGGAAAGGATCGATTTGTTGCAATTTTCATAAAATTGGGACCCAATTGATATTTTCAGAAAGAAAGGGACGAAATTGAGATTACATGCAAAAATAGGGACTTAGTGAATGATTAAACCTATTTCTATATTAATACAGTGACTTGACTTATAACTAAATCAGGTGTGGGGAGTTATTTAAGAGGCTTATGTATAGACAAAACCAAGGGAATAGATTCAAATATCTATCTACCTTACCTTTCAGAACATACTATTTCTACAAACTCCTGCCACATCTGAAAAAGGAAAAGATAAGGCAAAGGTGAGAGAAGAAAATGAAAAAAAAAAAAAAAGGTGAGAAAAAATCCAAAGGCGTGATAATCACAAATGTAAAATGTTGTCGGAAAGCAGCATCATGTGCTGTGATCCTCACACATTTCGAACCATGATTGGCTGAAGGTCACGTCACTGATTCAACTGGAAATTATTGGGCCACGTTTTGATACCAGTGTGGTTCCAAATTATATTTTGTAAATATTATATAACTGAGAGAAAAAGTCCAATAATCTGCAGCAAGAGTGTTCTTAAATTGGGACTCGTGTCGAGGCGGCACTACACAAGACACTTGTCGACACCAACACACTCCCCATCCTCAAGATCGCTGACACTCCTTACTCCTAAGTCCAACGTTGATCAGTGAATGAACAAAAACACTCACCCGAGGTAATTCTAATTTTAATCCCCTTTCATTCTCACTACCATTGTTTTCCTCTTCATATCCATATCTGAGCCATTCCCACGCTCTTTTATTTTGTTTTCCATTTCCTTTTTTATATGGCTCTTTCCTCCCAACTAATTTTAGTTTATCGATACGGGGCCTTTTGGGTTTCTCCGTTCGCCGCGGGGCTCTGTGGCGTGGAGAATCAGCGGAATTGGATAACGCTAAGTTGTTGCGCTGGTTCTTTTTGGTTCGTGGTGTGTGGAGCAAGGAGTTTGGTATCCATGATTGGATGTGAAATTTGTATAATAGTGACAATTACTTTTTTAAGATAAAAGAAAATCGGGTAGGAGATGGTGACGCGTACGAGAGATTTTTGTGATTTCGCCCGAAAAAGGAAGTTGGGTTCTGTTAAACTCCTAAAAAGGGTGTTGGTATCTCCCAGAAATTACTTAACTTTTTAATTTGAAGCATTTGAAAAATTAAGTTCTATCTACATCATCAGATTTTGCGGTAGGTTAATTTAATCTAAGTTACAAAAACTACTAAGATATTTTCACCTGGTCAAAATACCTAAATAACAGACAGCACAACGTTTAGATCTGACTTCTCTCTACAATTCAATCATAGTAGGCTTCAGTGTTTCACCATGTGCACTGCTTTGGATTTTTGCGCTTTAAATGAAATTGTTTCCTAACTGTTTTTCTACTGATCCCTAAAAAGATGGAACAGCGTTCTGCCTGAATGTTTTGTTTTTAAGGATTGTGCGGTGGGATTAATAATGATCTCTTTTAGTAACTTTATCAGTGAATTGCTTTTATTGTCCCAATGTTTTATATTTTTTATAGTTGTTCTGAATCCAAGGAAACCATTCCAAATCGGTGTCTGAAAACACCCCACGATCTACTGAGGCATGATTGCTACCTAAGACAAAGCTTGCTTAAGTAAAGCTCTAACGTCTGCTTCAAGGTTTGGAAAGTGAAAGCAAAGATGAACTTCAGGAACTACGGTTATAATAACCCCACTTGGGATGCCATGCATGGGAAGACACCGGCGGCAAATGTTGGTTCTCTACTGAGACAGCCATCATCTGTATACTCCCTTACATTTGATGAGTTTCAGAGCACCATGGGTGGGGTTGGGAAGGAATTTGGGTCCATGAACATGGATGAACTCTTGAAGAACATTTGGACAGCTGAAGAGACTCAGGCCTTGACATTTTCAGCTGGTACAGGAGAAGGCCACAACCTTAACTCAATTAGTGGTGGTTTGCAAAGACAGGGTTCTTTGACATTGCCAAGGACTCTTAGTCAAAAAACAGTAGATGAGGTTTGGAAGGACTTGATCAAAGAAAGTAGTGGGGCCAATGATGGGAATGGCAATGGTGGTTCATCCATTCCTCAAAGGCAACCAACATTGGGAGAAATGACTTTAGAGGAGTTTTTGGTGAGAGCTGGGGTGGTGAGAGAAGATGTGCCTCAACAACAACAAATTGGAAAACCAAATAACAATGGATGGTTTGGTAACTTTCCTAGACCAAACAATAACAATGGCCTACTTCTTGGTTTCCATCAACCAAATAGAAGTAATGGGAATATGGGTGAGAGGGTGGTGGAGACCAACAATAACTTAGCTCCCAAACAACCTCCTCCTCTATCACTAAACTCAAACCACTCTCACCGACCAACACAACAGCCACCACTTTTTCCAAAGCCTGCAAATTTATCTTTTGCTGCTCCTATGCATTTGTTGAACAGTGCTGCACTTGCTAGCCCTGGCAGAAGAGGAGGGTTGATCGACCATTCATTGAATGTTGGACTGGTTGGTTTAGTCTCGGGTAATCCAGAGGCTTCTCCCTCAAGGAAAATATCATCAGATGTAATTACAAGAAGTAATGTAGACAACTCTCCACTGTCGCCAGTTCATTATTCAATCAACAGGGGAAGAAAATCTAGTGCTATAGAGAAAGTGGTTGAGAGAAGACAAAGGAGAATGATCAAAAATAGAGAATCAGCAGCCAGATCACGGGCTCGTAAGCAGGTTAGTACTCATCACTGCATTAGTTCTACTGTTCTTCTAACATATACTTAGAGAGAAGTAAGGGTAAAACATGTTTTTATTTTTTAAACTATCTCAGAATTATGTTTTAGCTCAAATAATATTAATAAATTTTAACTTTATACACAGACGAAATCATGTGATTTTAATTTCTTTTGAAAAATGAAGCCATTTCCTTTTGCACTGCAACTCCTAAAACTCACCTAATAATAAAAATTAAAAGATATATATAATTAATCTCTAACGTTCTTTTGTTATACCTTTTATTATTCTTTTGTTTCTCACTTTCTCAAAAAATTTAGTTTTATTCTAAAGATTTTTACAGAAAAAAAACTCTAGTAATTTACTGTGTGGGTGGATCTTCTATAAGGCACGTAACTATAATATTCTATCTCTTGTGAATGGCAGGCCTACACTTTCGAACTAGAAGCTGAAGTTGCAAAACTAAAGGNGATTTTAATTTCTTTTGAAAAATGAAGCCATTTCCTTTTGCACTGCAACTCCTAAAACTCACCTAATAATAAAAATTAAAAGATATATATAATTAATCTCTAACGTTCTTTTGTTATACCTTTTATTATTCTTTTGTTTCTCACTTTCTCAAAAAATTTAGTTTTATTCTAAAGATTTTTACAGAAAAAAAACTCTAGTAATTTACTGTGTGGGTGGATCTTCTATAAGGCACGTAACTATAATATTCTATCTCTTGTGAATGGCAGGCCTACACTTTCGAACTAGAAGCTGAAGTTGCAAAACTAAAGGAAATAAACAGAGAATTGCAAAGAAAACAGGTATGCTGTCATTCTGCGCCACATCCTTATCACTTATCAGTAAAATGTATACGAAGGTTTTGGCTTTCTCTGATTACAATTGGTTTGTTACAGGCAGAAATTAAGGAAATGCAGAAAAACAAGGTATAATCTGTTTTGCATATGAATCTCTGCCAATGTTCTCTTCATCAAATGGCTCTTTTCTCACTTTTTTCTACTGGTTGACACCAATAGAGAAATTTACCAACATAAATTATTTTTAAATTTATTTTCACAGTTTGAAAGCCAAATAAACATTATTTATTTGTTTATCTTAACAGGATTCGGACCCTGCAAGCCAGCCAAGGGTAAGTAAAATACAATGCTTGAGAAGGACACTTACAGGGCCATGGTAGTGGTAGACAATGTGAGTAGTTGTTTCTGAGTAACAGATATCCGAAGGAGAAAATCATTGTTGTGTCATAAGAACTGGGGTATGTTTGTGAACTTTGAGGTAATTGCAGTCCAACACTAGATAGGGTGGTAGCTAGCTATTATTAGTTTTATGTATAGGAACTAGGAGAGGTGAGTTGTACATTATTAAACATGTATCTTCAAATAATGAATTATTATATGTGCTTGAATGTTATTTTCTTTTCTATTGCAGGATGATAAGATAACTCAATGTTATTAAACTGTCTCTAACTTTTTCTTGTCCAATTTAAGTTTTAGACAAGCCATTTGTTTCTTGTATTTATGAATGGAGGGAGGTTCCTATTTATTTTCCACATGAAAAAGATAAGTATCAGAATTGCTTTATTTGGTTGACCCTTTTATCACAGCAATCAAGGGGACTGTAGAATCACTTTGAAGAAATTTATATGGAACTACCTCAGTTACAAACACCTAGGGAAAGCACTTTTCTTGTAGAATAAAAAAATTCCTTTGTGGCCTTAAACAAACTTCAAGACAGTAGTTTCATAACATTTTCCAAATTATCACTAAGTTTGGCTTCACTCAATCAATGTACCGTATATCAGTATGGACCGAGTTCAATTTAGTAATCTCATTGATTACATTGAAAACACTATCATTGGAAATTTGAATGCTTCCTTAGTAATCAAGACTAAGACCACCACAATGCTTCAAAGCAAGATTAAACTAAAAGCCACTAGTGATCTTTGTTGTTTTTTGGCCTAGAGATTACCAAATAGTCTAAAGATATTAATCTATGTGTTAATTCTTGCTCAACATCAAATTTGAAGTTGAATGAGTGTAATGGAGGACCTATTGCTAAAGTTTCCAAGTATAGAAGCTACATGATTGCTTATGTATACTTCTTAACCAACAATGACTGACAGGTATCATGAAACTTGGACATATCTGCAGTTAATGTCCTTGATTAAAAACAAAATATTCTTTTTGTAAACATTTATTTTGTAATTACTTATGCTTAGTGCAAATATTTTAAGTAAATTTTGTTTACTATATATACCTCTAAATTTTCAATTTGTATTTTATTAAATAGTTATTGATATCCACTGATATTTACAAAATTCAGCTATATCCACAC